TCTCTGACCCTCCCCTGCTCATGCTGTCTTTCTCTCAGAAATAAATAAAACATTTGAAAAAAGAAGAAGAAGAAGAATACCAGTAAACATTTTAAAAAAAATTTTTTTTAAATGGAGCACCTAGGGGCGCCTGGGTGGCTTAGTCGGTTAAGCGTCCGACTTTCGCTTAGGTCATGATCTCGCGGTTCGTGGGTTCGAGCCCCGTGTCAGGCTCTGTGCTGACTGCCAGCTCAGAGCCTGGAGCCTGTTTCAGTCTGTGACTCCCTCTCTCTCTGACCCTCCCCTGCTCACGCTGTCTTTCTCTCTCTCTCCTAGAAATTAATAAAAATCTTTAAAAAAAAAAAATAAATAAAGGGAGCACCTGGGTGGTTAAGTGACCGACTTCAGCTCAGGTCATGATCTCATGGTTCATGAGCTTGAGCCCCATATTGGGCTCTGTGCTGACAGCTCAGAGCCTGAAGCCTACTTTGGATTCTGTGTCTCCCTCTCTCTCTGACCCTCCCCTGCTCATGCTGTCTTTCTCTCAGAAATAAATAAAACATTTGAAAAAAGAAGAAGAAGAAGAATACCAGTAAACATTTTAAAAAAAATTTTTTTTAAATGGAGCACCTAGGGGCGCCTGGGTGGCTTAGTCGGTTAAGCATCTGACTTTCAATTAGGTCATGATCTCGCGGTTTGTGGGTTCAAGCCCCGCGTCGGGCTCTGTGCTGACTGCCAGCTCAGAGCCTGGAGCCTGTTTCAGTCTGTGACTCCCTCTCTCTCTGACCCTCCCCTGCTCACGCTGTCTCTCTCTCTCCTAGAAATAAATAAAACATAAAAAAAAAAAAAAAGAAATACGTAAAACAAAACAAAAAAAAAAGAGTAACAGTCATATAATGGATTAGGACCTACACATATTTGTCTTTATTAGGACATGCTAATTTGACCTTAATTACCTCCTTAAATTTGCTATTTCCCAAACACAGTCACATTCTGACATATTGGGGGATAGGACTTCATCTTATGAATTTCGAGGGGATACAATTCAGCCCTAACAGTCAACGATAGGGAAAGGGAGAGGAAGGAGCTCAGTGTAGGTAGCTATGGAGAAACGAAAGCAAACTCTACATTTGCAGAAGGGAATTTCACCCGCTGCCCCCAAATTCCCTATCTTTCTTCTCTCAGTCCTTTGGCACCAAGTTCCTATTCCTGTTCTAAGTCCTGATGATCATCTTAGTCCTAATGATTCGTTTTCCTAATCTCAAATGCAGAGCACTTACTACCTATACCAATCATCTGGCCCTTTATACCATGTGGCCTGTGGTGGCTCTTGATGCCTTGTACATTACTAGAGGCCTCATCTCAGGTCACTATCCCTGACCCTTGTTTAGTTCACATTCACCTTACATTGGCTCTTCCCAGAAGTCATATAGTGGGCTGTAGATCAAAGACACTGGAACACTCTTCCCCACTCCTCTTCACCTGCCCAGCCCTCTCTCAACTAATTAATATAATTTTGTGCTTAAGATCTCAGCTTAAATGCCTCGTCCTCAAGGAAGCTTTTGAAGACCGACCACACACACACACACACACACACACACAATTTACCCTGACACTATACACAGATTCTTCTCCTATCCTCTCCCCTCACTTTGTCATAACACTCACCAAGTTTAATTCCATACTTGCGTTGTTATTGTTATTAACGTGTGTCTCTCTCACAAGATTAACACATACTCATAAGTTCCTAAGCAGAATCTGTATCTTCATCTTCCACTGAGCAGCCAGACCAGTGCCTGGCACAGAGTAAGTGCTCAATAAATATTTGTTAGCTAAAGGAAAGAGTGAGTGTAAGTTAGTGTAAATCAGTGGTTATGTAATCTATTTTTACTGAATACATTCACATTGAAATAGAGGCAGTGTGAAATCATTAGTAATAATTCCTAGACAGAAAGGTGCATAGATATTAATAGATCTTGAACGAATGGAACCACACAGAGAAAGCTGAAATCTAACTGTTCTCTTATGTCGTAATTCTGCAGAAATTACTTAAACATGTTTTCCATATGTAATTTTCCGTATACATGTATTTATGTATTAATTCTCTTTTGCAGGTATTTTTCAGTCCATTTGAACAGATATCTGCAGTCACCCTCTCCTTGTGGCTCATTCCACTGCTCAACTTTGGCCTAAAACCAACAAGAATTCTTTACTTGGGCTAAAGAACTGACAGATTCCCATGGTGACTCCAATCCAACACTTTTTCATTTTCTTCTTCATATTAGGCAGGAAACACTAAAATTCTGGGAACAAGATCTGTGTCACACATTGGAAATGTTCATATCTGCTGATAACACTCAATCTACCTCAGCTGAACACATGAGGAAGCCACATGGTCACAATCTAATGGAACATAGAACATAACTAATAAACTGAAGCAACATTCCACATGTTATCACTTTCAGCTTTGTGCAACATGTGGAAACAGGCTCATGCACCACTCGGTTGTGTCAGAACATCTAAGAGAGCAGAAGGCTTGTTTGGGATTTATTATGGTCACTCACCTCAGTAAAGTGTCCCAAGGAGTGCATTACAACCTCCACATGTCTGTATGTTATGGAGTTCTTTTTTAAAAGGAGTATTTTCTGAGATGTATTTAACTTTCAGGTATTTGGACTATTTATGCAGCCCTGGTTCTTTTGAATACTTGAAAACAAAAGGTACCAGTAACTGTTAATGAGAAATTATTTTAGACAAGAAAAATAAAACTGTTCTTTTTATAAGAATTGCAATAATTTCATGAACCCAGATTACTGAATAATTTTGCTTCTTGTTTTGGCCTCTACTTTTCATGCCTCCTTGCCCCCTAATGTAACAGACATCATCTTCTGTTTTATGGACTTCAACTATTTTATACAGGTCATAAAGCTCAAGTTGAGCAGGGCTTCTTGGTGAATAATTTTTCTCATGCTAAAGAAGAAACATGAAGCAAATTAGGAAACCATAGAAGCCAGAAAAACAGCAGTAACATCATCAAAATCAGAAAACAATTTACCTAAGAAAAGTGAAGCTCAATTTGGGAAGTTTCGCAACTGAACTAAATGAACATTACAGCCATTACATGGTCATTCTCTATATTGGAAAGAAAACTTAAAATTCAAAGGATGTTAAGTTAAATGCTGGAGCCCTTTTTTAAAGTTCCTTTTTATCAGTAATCAAACATTCAGTGCATTCCTCACAACAGGTAAGGCAATGTGTCAACAACTAAAATACTTCCATTCATAGCCAGGAGCTACAATCTCTCCAGTCCAATTAACAAGGAAACAAAATCTCTCCAAAAGAAGCAAATCTACTCCCTTATAAGCTAAGCAGACCCGGGTCAGCTGTCTCAGAAATAATCAACTTGATCACTTGTTCTGAGGTTAAAATATTAATGACCATATACACTAATCAATGCACCAGCAAATGCCGTAAAATAAAGGAAATCTAAGAGAAGTGCTATAAGCAGACCAAGTTCACAATACATGGTCTTCTAACCCAAAGTTCTCACTAGCTCCAAAAAAAAAATTAAATATAAATCAAAAGAAGCTTGACAGCCTAAAAATAAAACTGTTTCCTAGTAATTAAAACACTTTCCTATTTTACATCTAGTGATATAAATACTTTGTATCATTTTAAAAGATGAGCTTGAGAAGAGAGTGAGGGAATGGTTATAGCTGTCTGATATTCACATCTGTGAATTAATACCATCTAACGCCATCTCAATACGCTGTTCCAACATGAACACTAAGTAAAAGAAATCAGTTTTAAGTGGCTACCATGAATAGTTGAGAAAAAAAAATATTCTTACCCAAATTAACTGTTGTTTAAACATATATTTTATCAGTTTGGCCAAGCATCAGAATTGTTTCTTCCAACAAAAATGAAATTGTTTTAATTATCTAATGCCCATAACTACTTTTTATTTTTACAAAAATGAGAAAAACATGTCTTAATGGAATACCATTACCTATAACATAATATAGATTTATTCAGAATACCTTACATTCTAGGGATTTAAAATGTGGTAACTGTCCAAATATTTACCTTCACTTAAAATTATTTCAGCTCAAACCGAAAACCCCAAGAAAAATCATTTTGATGGAAACATTTCTTTTCACTCCCTATGAAACCCAACATAAAGCTAGATTCTCTGTTACACTGTAGTCCTAAATGACATTTCGTTGCTACAGCAACGAAACTCTGCTACCTGTGGCCATAATTTGTTAAGAATTCCTCCAACCAGTAAAATATGTGCTGTGCATTCATAAAACCAAAAGAATGGCTCGAATGGCCCAATGCAACATACAAATTAAGGTTTAATTTCCTACTTATGATCCACCCACACACATATTTATAACATATATATGTATACATACATACATAATTATGATTCCCCCAACTACGTGAAAAAGGGAAAATCATACCAAATTTCTTTTTTTTAACATTTTGTTTTCTTTTGTTTATTTCTGAGAGAGACAGCGTGAGCACGGGAGGTTCAGAGAGAGAGGCAGACACAGAATATGAAACAGGCTCCAGGCTCTGAGCTACCTGTCAGCACAGAGCCTGATGCGGGGCTCAAACCCATGAACCGTGAGATAATGGCCTGAGCCAAAGTCGGCAGCCCAACCAACTTAGCCACCCAGGAGACCCAAAATCATACCAAGTTTCCATTTTAAAATAAGCACAAATGAGCTGCTTTGTTTTAGGTTTCAGTGAATAGTTGCTACCTGTTTCCCAAAATTTATCTTAAAAGGTAATAGTGACTATCAGGAGAGAATTTAAAAAACAAAAATCTGTTACCTATACCCACTCATTCCAAAAGGGGGGAAAAAATCCCAAGGCACAATTTCCTATCTGTTGCAGGAAGTGTGGCTTCTTTAGCAACGATCTGATTTAGGAAATATCAAGCTAGAGCAAAAAGAAAGAAAATGTAGTCGTCACCACCTTGATTCACCAAAACGCTTCTACAGGCTACTCACCCTCACCGGGGGGCTCCAGGCTTGCACCCGCGGCTGCTGTCCGCCCTGGGAGCTCTGCAAATCTTTTGAGCTACAATTAGCCACAGTGCTGCTCTGAGCCCTTAATGCGTTTGTGCAGTTCGTCCCACTGCCCCCTCCAGGGCCAGGTTTCCAAGGCCTCTGCTTGATGCCGTCCAGAAGTCTGACCAGCAGGATGTTACTCGGAAGCTCCTCGACGCCCGAGCCAACCAGAGTCCTGCACTCGGGGCATCTGAGTTCATTTCGGGAACCTACAATCCCCAGCAAACATCGTTTGCAAAACGTGTGCTGGCAAGGCAAGACCTTTGCAGAAGCGTCGAGCCGCTCTAGACACACAGGACACTCCAGAAGATCCAACAAGGCAGATTCATCCATCTTTATCTAGTTTACTGAGAAAAGGCTTCAGAAATGTTCATAGTTGTGTGCATCCCTTAAAGGGATTCATGTAACATCCATTTCAGACTTTGCTCTGGAGTAATGGGGGAGGGAGAGGAGAGAAGACAGAAAATTAGTACTGTTGCTTGGACGAAAGTTTTCACACAGGGGCCGAGGACCAAAAAAGTACACAAAACTACTTCCTCTGAATAGTGCAGCTTTGCTTTGGAATGTGGTTCCTGAACTCCAAAGTCAACAATTAAATACAAAGTGGGCTTTTTAAACAATTCAAAACGAATCCCTAAAGATACCTAGGAGTTCACTGTGCAGAAACAGTTATCAAGCACTATGCGGGATTCCTGTAATAAAACGGGATTTATGAAATGCAATAAAAAGCATAACTTCTCCGGCTCTCGAAGTGATACTGGCTGCCTTCATAAAGTCCTCCTCAACTCATATGAGAAGCTGAACAGAAGCAACTGAAAGTTTCCTCTACCTGAAAGTATTTTTAAATCCAACAGACTTCCCGATCTTTAAGCCACTTTCGTGTTTAAGAAACCATGCCTCATGTGATCACTTGTGGTAAATGATCCCAATATTAGATACATATGTTTCTTCCTTGGTCTTCAAAATAGAACTGTTTAATCTCGCCCAACCAAAATGAGCCGAAGGTTGACAATTCTAAACGACACGGCCAAAGATTTGCTTGAAAGCAGCTCAACTAGAAAAGCACCCTTCAGTGCAGTGCCTGACAAACTCTGAAACGGAACATTCTAACCCCATTCAGAAAAATCTGGCAAAATGATCGCCAGAAGAATTTGACAATGGAATGCTGGGCTGAAAACTGCGAGCGTAACATGAAAACGGGGCCATTCAGGAAAAAGCGTTTGAAGCAGTGCCTGCGCCGCTCTCCCCTACCTCCGAAATAAATGCGAATGGGAACGCTTGGGAGAGAGAGGGGAACAGGATTTTGCTGGAAGCATTAACAGCTGTTCTTGACAGAGCCGGGGAGCGGGGTGCCCCAGGGCTGCGCCCCTCTCCCACGCCGCCAAGCGCAGGTACTCCCAGACCCGCAGGGAGGCGCGGCGGCCGCTCGCCGCAGACACCCCCCGGGAGCCAGGTGTCGCCGACCGGCGGCAGGGGAGGCAGGGTCCCGGGCGGCGGCTGCGGCCCTGCGGGGGCCGGAACGGGGATCTCAATTCAACAGCCTCCTCCCCGCCACCCTGTGGGTCAGGCCAGGCACATAAATCCACCCCCCACCCCCCCACGCCCGAACGACTGCTGGAAGTTTTCAAGGACTTAAAAATAAATTCGGAGCCTTAAGTTGCGAGAGTCAGCCCCACAAAGTGCCACCGGGAAACGTCTCTGACGCCGCAGAGATGAGGCGGGAGTGAGTCCCCAGAGAGACCGAGCCTTCGGGAGAGCGGGGAGTGCTGGGCTGCGCCCCCGGGAGACCGCGACACGGAGCCGCGGCAGCTTCCTGCCAGGAGAAAGCAGCGAGGCCGCGGCACCGTCCCGGCTCCGGGCCCGCGGGGACCCGAGGGCGGAGGGACAGGGGGGACAGACCAGCGCGGAGGAGAGAGGGGCTCCCCGACCACCGCCTCCTCGGCCCCGCGGCCCCGAGCCCTACCTCGCGCCTCGGCTCCTCCTCTTTGTTCGCGGCCCCGCAGCGGCGGCGGAGACCGATGCAGATGCGGCCCCGCCGCGCCCGCCGCGCGCAGTGTCTCTGACGCCGCGGCGGCACCCGGAGTCTCCTCTCTGCTGCCCCCCTCACGCGCGCACACACACGCCGCCGCCGCCGCCGCCGCCTCCCACTTTCCCAGCCGAGGAGGGCGGAGGAAGAGGAGGAGGAGGAGGAGGCCGAGCCGCAGCGGGCGCCCGGGGCGCCAGGGGGCGGCCCCGCACCACAGCGCCTCCCCCCGGAGCGGGCGCGGCACCTCCGGGAACTGCGGGGCCGGCGCTCCTTCCTCCCGGCCCTGAGGTACCTGCGCGCGGTCCCCGCCCGCCCCCGGGGGCGTGATGGGGGCGGCGGCCTGAGGGGGCGCTGCGAGGGCCGAGAGTCCAGGAAGCGGGGGTCCCCGAGAGCGAGTGAGATGGACGGTTTCGGGGCACACGCCTTTCCCTGAGGAAAACACGCCTGAAGAACTGAAGCCACCGGAGGGGGTGAGCCTTGGGAGTGGCGACGGATGAAGAAGGAAGGCGCCACGGGGCAGGGGCCGGCCGCGTCCTCCTCCGGCCCGGTGGTGCCCGGCGGCCCGGGACGGACGACTCGGGGCGGGACCTGCCGCGGCGCGGGAGGGGCCGGGGCGAGGAAGGGGCGGGAGCAGCCCTGGCGGGAACTGCTCCCACTTTTCCTCAGCATCTGTTCCTCTGGCCCTCCGGACACACTTGGTAGAGTGAGAGCGGAGCGCTGTTACCCCTGAGGTCCCAGGGAGGCAAGTCGGATCAGCGGGCGGGGGGCGGGGGGGTGACAGCCCCGGGGCAGCTGTCCACCCGCCCATTCTCGGGCCTTGCTCCGCCGTCTGCCCGCACCCAGGCACCGCGCTGCCTCCCCGGGGCACAAACCCGAGCCGGCTGGGAGGATTGCTGACCCAATAGCTCCAAATGCGAGGGGAGAGAGGCGAGGAAAACAGTTGGGGCGGGGGAGGTTACTGTTAGACCCTAAATGGGGAAAATTCAAAGTCTGACCCCAGGTGAGCTGGCACCGTAAAGCTAGCTGAGAGGCGCCTCTTTTATCTGAGCCTGGGAGGCAGCCATAATCACCACTGTAATCTTTGTTTCGGTTGCCCCGGGCGCACACCTGTACGCTCTGAAATGTAGTTTTGAAAAACACGTCCACAGGTTTTGAGGGTTGTTTTTCAGACTCAACTCAGAGGGGAAAACAAGTTAAGATGCTGTCATTATCTCAAAGTTGTCATAATTGTATTTGCATTTACCATCCGCTTACAAAAAGTTATCCCAAATACCCTTCCTCAAAAGGTGGGCAGAAACTAGGCGAAAATAAGAAGGGTTACACGTAGTATGCAAGAAATTCCCGCGTGGCCAGCAACCACAGTGTGACATTCTGAAGGAAAGTTAGATTATTCTCCAGTCTCCACCCAGGCCACAACTCAGCTATTCAGACAAATGAGATCACCTAAGTAAGAGAGAAATTGTAAGTTAATAATTATTGATCATACATGGAACATGCTAAACATTCTACATCCATTAATTCAATCCTTACTGCAATCTGATACTCATCCCTCTTTAGCTTTGTTCTAAATAGATTAATATGCCGAGAATCATCTTGTGTGAACACCAGAAACAGCCCCCTTCCCCCTCTGTTAGAAGTGAGCAAATACACATGCATTTGACCTGAGAAAGCAAGAGGCAGGAATGAACAGAATGAAGATTTTTTTTTAATATTTATTTATTTTGGGGAGAGAGCAAGTGGGGGAGGGGCAGAGAGAGGAGGATGGAGGATCAGAATTGGTGAGGGATTTGTGCTGACAGCAGCCAGCTCCCATGTGGAGCTTGAATTTAAGAACTACCAGATTATGATCTAAGCTAAAGTCCATCATCTTTCAATCGACTGAGCCACCCAAGTGCCCCAAGGATGGAGAATTTTTAATCCAATAATCTAGAAACAAAGCACTCTGAAAGTGACTGCTTAGCCTGTGTACTTCTGTATCTGGAACTGTGTGGGTGAAGGTGAGGCTGACTGGAAAAGTACAGTCAGTAAACATAAATATTAGTATATACAGTTCACAGTTTTTGAAACCGAAGTTCAAATAGGTTCATTTCATTCCTAGGTCACAAAATCACAAGGCTCAACCTCAGGTCTCTGCATTCCAAGTACCCTCTCTTAACATTCCGCCTCGGGCAAAACCAAGTGTACTATGTCTGCTCCCAAGGGAAAGAAGACACTGTTCATCATGTAATTACTTTGGAGAGCAAGGGACAATTTTTGTTTTGTTTGTTCTTATTTTGGTTTTTGGTTTGTTTTTACAGAGAACAGTATATAAAGTCATGGGTGGAATGGTGCAGCTCTTGAAGCTAGGCAAGAAAATCACTAGACACACCCATTATCAAAGAACTAAAGACAGTGTGCCCAAGACTGCAGTGCTCAAAAAAGCACCCCCACACATCCCATGAATATTATTATCTGGCACACGGTTCTTTGAATGCTCCTAGTGCTACTTCACTATATTTTGTAGAACACAACTCTTCTGTTAGCCTTAATTACTCTAGCTGTAAAGAAAAATTTTAGGCAAATTACTTTAAACTGTTGAGCCATCTTGCTTCCATTAAATGGTGAAATAGATCAAACCTTTCTTAGGGTGTTCTTGGAAGATTCAATGAAATCATGTGCTGGTTCTTTGTAATCTGTACATCTCCACTGAAGAAAGATCTCATTATCATTATCTGCTGAGAATTACACAGGCAGAGGTATACTAGGTAAAATCCTTCCTTCCCACGGGCTTTGAAAAGTTTGAGAAAACACAATTGCAAAATCCAGTCATAAGAATACTATAGGGGAAAGGGACAGTTGGGTAAAGAGAATCATGTTCATCTCACCATTTCTGGGAACTGAACTTGAAGAAAAGAATGTAAACATGATATGTTTATGGCCCCTGCGACTTTGAGTAGATACATGAAAATATAAACACACCCTGTACACAATAATGATAGCTTGGCTTAATACAGTACTGATCCTCCCAAGACTTCAAAGTACTTTTATATATGTTATCTCATTTATCTTCTAAGCATCCCTCTTAAGCAGTAAAAGCAGATATAATCATCCCCATTTGTAGATGGGGGGAAAATGAGGTATAAAGCAGTTATTCCTTTTAGTGACAATGTTATGACACAAATCGGACTTTTAAATTCCCAGGCCAAACCACTCTTCTATAAGCTTTGGTATCATACTTACACATACCTGTATCTGATCATTATTTTCCTTCAAAACTTATCCTGCCTCCAGTTGCTGCAACATTGGGAAGTGAAAACAATGTTTACCCAGTTGTGTAAACTAGAAACCTAGGGGTCATCTTTGATTTCTCTCTCTTCCTCTCCATCCTTCTCCATCAACAAGACTGCCAGCTACCCTCAGAATATATATCAATTTCTACCACTTCCTTTTGCTCGGCTGTGTCTTTATTCAAGCCACCATAGATCACTCTTTGCCTCCAGCCCTCCTAACCAGCTTCTCTGCTCCCACTCCTGTCCCCACAGTCTTGCCTTGAATGTAGTGACACTCAGAGCAAGATAACAAAAAATGCATAACAGATCATGTTACTCCCTTTCTCAAAACTCATCAATTTCTTTCTGCCATACTTGGAATAAAAATCAAGCACCTTCCAACTCTTATGAGCCCCTGTGTCACCTGGACCCTACACTATCATGTTCTACCACAGCACTCTGTTTACCTTCTTTATAGTACTCTTCAGAGGCTTTTTGATAGCTTGTTTCTTGCCTCTCTCCCTTGCCTGAATATAAGCTCCCTGAAGGCACTGAATCTGTCTTCTTCACCACTGTAGCCTGGACAACCAACCCATGGTGGGTACCAGTGAATGAGTCTCAAAGAATGAGTCAAGTGTAGAATTACATTTATTACCATCCTAAAGCTACAAATATACTTAGTGCTTTGCTGATCTACAGATAGGAAATCAGGCAATGTTCCAAACTCCGTTGAGAATCTTTCTTATAATCTATCAGTCACTAAGTTTTATGCATAAGAGGACACATGATTCTTCCTATTCACAGTTAAGATGCAGAAAAAGCTAAATTCCAGCTACATAGCACAGAACTTAAATGGAATGCCAGTTTGTATTCATTCAAGGTCTTCATCATCATCTACTTAGTTTTCCAAGCAAGAAAATTCAGTTATCTCGAGTCTCTCCTTTCCCCTCTGCTCCCTCCACCACACAGCCAGATAAATGATCCAAAGACCACCAGAAGTGCTTTTTATTTTTTAAAAAAATTAATGTTTATTTGTTTTTGAGAAAGAGTGAGAGGAGGGGGGGAGGGGGAGGGAGAGAGGGAGACACAGAATCCAAAAGCAGGCTCCAGAGCTGTCAGCACAGAGCCTGAACCGTGAGATCATGACCTGAGCTGAAGTTGGATGCTTACCTGACTGAGCCACCCAGGCACCCCAAAAGTGCTTTTCAAATCTGCCCCTTCTCCCAATCCTTATTTCAGGACTGTTTATCTTCTATTTGAATAGCGAATATTTTCCCTGCTTTCAGTCTTTCCAGAGTACTTGATTCTGGAAAGAGCTTTGGAATCAAAGCCTTCTCTATTTACTAACTGTGTAAACTTCAAGCAAGTTTCTAGTCTCCTGTGCCTAAATTTCCCTAGTAAAATGGGGATAAAATTAATATCTGCCTCAGAGGTTTTGTGGAGATTTTATATGTTAATGAAAATGCTTGGAACTATGCCCTACACATGGTGAGTACTTAATGATAATATTATTTTTATTAGAATCTAGATTCAATACTGGATCCATTGCCCGTTAACTAAATGACTTTGCAAATTTCTTTAATTTTCTAAGTTTCAATTTCCTTATCTGTACAAACGAATATAATGTTATCTACTTTGAAAGCTTATTGTGAAAAATTAATGACAGAACTCCTTGAAAATTCTAGCTCTGTGACTTTATGGCACATAGTGGGGCTCAATAAAATGTTTGTTCCTGGTCTCCTTTTCTGTGTACATCTGCATTTGTTTCCACATAATTGGAGAGTGGATTGGATTATTTCTGAGGTTCT